TTTTTAATCATTAACTGTTTTCTTAATCAATTATTTTTTTTTCATCAATGTATTGATTGAGGCTCTAACTTTTGAGCTAACAGCTTAACCGGCTCATAAAATTAGTTTGATCTAATGATTTTTTATAATTTGTCTGGGTGTTCAGGGAGTATTTTAAAAAATCGGCAGCTTCCAAGGACCCTCGTAAGGATTTTTTCTGAATTTTTTTAAAAAAACGTCTAAATCTTTGGGGTGGCTGGAAGGGTAGTTTCGGGGGAGATATTTGCCTGATGATTTTTTATTTTTTGTCGGAGTGTTCAAAGAGTATTTTAAAAAATCGGCAGCTTCCAAGGGCCCTCGTAACGATTTTTTCTGAATTTTTTAAACAAACGTCTAAGTCTTTGGGGTGGCTAGAAGGGTAGTTTCGGGGGAGATATTGGCCGGATGATTTTTTATATTTTGTAGGGGTGTTCAAGGAGTATTTTAACAAATCGGCAACTTCCAAGGACCGTCGTAAGGATTTTTTCAGAAATTTTTTTTTATTTATAAGTCTTTGGGGTGGCTGGTGGGGTGGTTCCGGGAGAGTTAGGCGCCTGATGATTTGTCTTATTTTGTGGGAGTATTCTAGGACTACTCCAAAAAATCGGCAGCTTTTAAGGATCCTCGTAAGGATTTTTTTAGAATTTTTTTTTTATTTATGAGTCTTTGGGGTGGTTGTAAGGGTAGTTTCGATTTTTGGAGGAGTTGATATATCATTTTTAGAGCTATTTGTCTTTATTTGGAGCTGCAAAATCATTTTCAGTTTCAGAAGCAAAAAAATTTTTTTTTGATTTTCGTTCACAAAAAACGATCAGAACTTTAGGTACATTACTCAAGTTAGAGGACCAAGAAGAAGACAGTTGCGTGAATTAACTAAATATCGTTCTAGTTATAGTATATATCAAGAAAATTGTAAAAAATGTGCTGATGAGAAACAAACAACTGGTTATACTGACAAGGAATTTAAACTTCAGACAATACAGAAAATCAACTCCGAAAGAAAAGTTTTGAATCGACGAAAACTTAGAAGTTTAGATATTCAAGATTTCGTTCAACAATGGATTGAGGACGATAAATACAAGGACAAATTTATTCGAACGGTTCAATTTCCGCTATCAATTATATTATTCACCGAACGTCAGTTGGAAGTGATTAATCCAGCCATTTCTGCTGTACTTCATCTAGATTCGACTGGTGCTAAAGTTAAAGTTCCCGGAGATTTAACCAGTAAAAGAGTATATTACTACGCCTTAGTTTATAGAGCTACGAAATCTACAATTCCACTAGCTCAAATGATAACAAGCCAGCAAGATACAAAATCAATTTCTAATTTTTTGCAAGAACATAATGATGTTGTTAAAGAATACTTTCATTCATCACCAATTAAGGCTGTAGTGACTGATTGGAGCTGGCCTTCAATGCATAGCGTCCTTTCAGTATATAATGAAATGGATATCTCAACATATCTGGAAGAAACTTACGAGTACTATGAAGATATGAAAAAAAAACCAAAAGTAACGACGTTTTTGTTGTCTTGTTGTGCCCATGCTATGCACAGAGTTGCAATAGAAATAAAAAATTTAGGTCTTGAAGACAATAAAACGTTTTTAATGAAATGTATGGGAAAACTCATATTATGTCGAAATAGTAAGGATTTAGATGAGACATTTAGGTTGATAACGACAGTATTGTTAACTAAGGATAAAGATACAGCAGATAATAAAAGAAAATTACTCGAAGAATCATCGGATAAATCGAAGAATGAGGTGGAGGATCTCATCAAAGATACTGACGCCATGAATTCAGAAAATTCAACTGATTATCCTAGTGAAGACTCGGTCAAATTTAAAGTTACTAATGCTATTTTTAGCAAATCACCATTTTATGTACGTTTTGCAAGTTTCGTGGATGAAATCCAAAAATCATTGAACTCAACAGAAATCAATCGAACAGAGACAACTAATAAAAATCGTAGTCCAGAGTTTCTTGAATATCTATTAGAAACTTTTATGCCATACGCACCTATTTATTTCGGAATTATGCTAGACTTAATCGACAAAAATATTTCCAGAGTGTCAAATAGTTATGTAGAATCTCATAACAAAACATACAGTGAAAAAATTTTGAACGGAAGTAAGGATTTGACTGTTGGTGATGCTGTTCGGCAAATAAGAAGTCATAATGAGTGTTTACTTGCTGAAGAATATTTGTTTAAATTAAGAAGTAACGATAATGGGGGATTTGTGAAGTATCCACCTACAAAAGATCCCGCGGCAGATCGTAAAGCAAAAGAAATATGGGCAAGATTACAAAAAGAATATAAATTAGTCAAACCGAGAAGAACACGTAGCCGATATCTACCAGGTCAAAATATTATAAACGTAGATAAAAAAATTGGCGCAGCTGAAACGGATAATAATATAAAATCTAAAGACGCCAATGTAAAAAAGGGTCAAAAAAGGAAGTTAGATTTAAATGAAGACAACGTGAAGAAAGTGAAGCGCAATAAGACAAACACTGTAATTGTCACAAATAGCTCTAATGGATTCGAATTTTCAGAGAATGGCTTAGTTAATAACATAAAGTATTACTTAAAATCGAATTCATCTACTCTTAACTTTGCACATTACTCAGCTAATGAGCAAGTATTCTTCTATCTCAATAAATTCGTGATAACGCCTCTTCAACTTCATACGGTAGCTGATTATAATGAATGGGTTGATGGACAAATTATAGATGCATTTGCATCTACATTTATGACAGAATGGAATGATATAACTTTTATTTTTACAGATTTATCAAATAAAGTCCTGGGACGATTTTCACAGATGAAAACAAA